AAAAAAAAATCCTGAAAGAGGAAGACTGAAGTGTTGAAAAGGCTGAGCTCAGAGCGCCGAAATGGCATCAGGAGAGCAGTGAGCGCGAGCTGAACAGCAGAGCGAATTAAGATGCATGGTGCATTTTTGGCAAGCACAAACCCAAGCAGATCAGAGCTCTGCTTAATTTGCTCTGCTTTTCTACAGCGCTTTTCTGCATGCCTTCCCCCTCCCCCAAGCTCAGAGCGCCGAAATGGCATCAGGAGAGCAGTGAGCGCGAGCTGAACAGCAGAGCGAATTAAGATGCATGGTGCATTTTTGGCAAGCACAAACCCAAGCAGATCAGAGCTCTGCTTAATTTGCTCTGCTTTTCTACAGCGCTTTTCTGCATGCCTTCCCCCTCCCCCACTCTGCTCCTCTGCACAGAGACACAGTGATAAAGGGACAGTGCTGCAAGCAGGAGCACGGGTGAAGGGAGGAATTACAGGTGTAGGACTCCCAAGTATTTCAAGGGTCTGCTTCTGCCAGGCACGGGGCTTTGCACAGGGAGGAGAGACAGAGGCACAGGCTGGACCAACGTCTCCAGGCTCTGCTCTGCACCCTGAACCATCCTAGTCCAAAGGGGGCAATAGGATTTGGGAGTAAAAAAGGGGAAAAGAAGAAAAATCAGCTGCAGGGAGGATTTGCAAGCACAATTCGTGCACCCGTACCCCTAGGCAGGGAGCAGCCTGCCCACAGCTACACTCATGGGGAGCCCGTCCCAGAGGGGCACGAGCAGGGCTCAAGCTTGGGTAACTCCTCACCCCCATTGCTGCACAGCCACATCGCAGGCCCTGGGAGCAGCAGTGATGTACAAGAGGCTGCACACACCAGGGCACCAGTCGTACTCCCAAGGGGGGGTTTCTGGGGTGCCAAGCAGCTTCACCGGGGCTCCCACTGCCAGGAGTCCCCAGGGGAAGCAGGAGCACTCATCTAGTGAATAAATACCGAGGTAGGAGAGCTGGTTTCTCCCTGAGCTCCACCTGCTTTCAAATTACTGAAGTGAAACACCTGGATCCAAAGAGGTCACTGAAGTGCCTGGCACTGCAAGGAAGATGAGCAGGGGGGGGCCTGGTGTGTCCCCCGCCCCACGAGATACAGCTCCCATCCTCAGGAACCTGTATGGAGATCGCAGCTGTGAAGGTACCAGAGAGGAGAACACCCAGGCATATTTTTTACTCCCTGCCTCAGTTTCCCCACCCATGTCAGAGTGATGCCGTTCTTGTGGCTCAGCACTGTGACCTGACTGGAGAAGACACTGATGGAGGGCACTATGCCACGTGTCCCTGCCCCTGGGGAACACCGGGCACCCTGCGATGCTCAGCCAGCACGTGGGTTCATCCCTCAGCAACACAGGGCACAGGGATGTCACACTACTTGCAAACCCAGTGCCCCAGGGCAAGACTGAGGCTTCCTTTCTACCGGAGGTTGGTCACAGCCTTCTCGTGACACAACATCGATCACACCATCACGTGTGAAACCAGTGTGAGGCCATCAGGCTGCCCTGGTGTGTCACTGCAGGGCCAGTCACAGGGTGGGGACACGTTCAGGGGCACAGGGCTCTCCTTGCAAAGATGAGGTTTAACCCACAAAAAGTTGGGGATGCCCCAGCCCAGCTGTCCCAGCTCGGGGGGGATGCAGGAGCCCACCCGTCCCCACAACGTGCACAGCCTGTTCTGCCACCCAGAGCCAGCAGATGATGAGGAGGTTTCGTGCCAAGCCATGGCTTTCTCTGCCACTAATAGATAAAGCCACCACTCGCAGAGGAATTGTGTCCGGGCAAAGCAGGGGAACGGGAGGAGTGGGAGCACCCAGCTGGGTGCCGGGAGGGCAGGCGGAAGGTAGGCAGGAAAAGAAAGAAACCGGGGGGCTGTTCATCCTCCCCATTGCAGGCTGCCAGAGGGACTGGTGAGTTCGCTGGCAGAAGAGACTGCAGCAACAGCAAAGGCCCTGCCGCAGAGAGCAGACAGGCCACCCACCTTCACCCTGCACCAGAGCTGGGCAGCCCCTGGTCCTGCTTCCCCCACTTGAACCCACCACCACTCACCGGTCCACAGACAGATGCAAGATGATGATCAGTGAGGGCAGTGCTACCTTTTGCACACACAGACCCAAAAGGAGACGGGAGTATTTGGGAGCTGCCAGTGGCAGGGAGGGACCCATCCCTGCCTCCATCCCTCACTCCTGTCCCCGTGGAAGGGGGAGGCAGGAGCAGGGCATGAGTGATGGGGCTGTCAGAGCGCAGAGATGGTATCTCGAGCAGAGGCCTTGCCATTATTGCTCTGAGGGATGCTGGCAAATTGCTCTTTCAAGAAGCATCTCCATGAAGGATGAAATCAGTGCCTCCTGCGAGAGCTCTGCCCCACAGGGGCTCGGGGGCTGGCTTCCCTCTGGCCTCTGAAAGCCTCTAGAAATTCCACAGGATGCACTCGGTTGAGACTAAACCCCAGTTCCCCTGCAGAGAGGTCCCCATTTCCCCCATCCCAGCAGCCCTCTGCATGGGGACACGGGTTGCTACCAAAACACCCAGCCCAGCAGAAGGAGCAGGACTGGGAGGTGCCCAGGGGGCTTCTGGCCACAGGCAGAGGTGAAGGCAGCCCTTTTGTTTGCATTTCTGCGCTTCCCACCTACACGGCTGCCTTTAGCATCGCACGCTAGGGCTGGCCGTCCCTCAGGGACAATCTTCTGTCCTGCCACCCCACGTCCCAGTTAAAGGCTCCCAATGCACCGCTTGCCTCCCCGGGCCAGCAAACACCACAGCCCTTTGGGGCATGACCAGAAAGAGATCTGTGGTCCAATATCTGCTCAGTCATCATAAGCGCCGACGTCCACTCCTGCCTCTGATCTCCGTATCGATCCGGCAGGCCCGCACTGAGGCATGCACCGCCCCGCTCCCTATTACCAGAACAGCACTCGCCGCTCACTGAAAATGATGAGCTGACATTTTTCTAGCCCCCCTCTCATCCAGCAGGGTCGGCAGATCTGCCTACAGCAGGACCACTTTGCACACCCCTGAAAGGCAGCCAGCCCCGGGGCGGGCAGAGCAGCGATGCCCAGCAGCAGCACGGGGTGTGAGGTCTGACGGGAGGGGCAGGGAGAAGGGTTTCATCCCCTGCATTGGGAATCTGGCTGCAGGTTGACGCGCCCCTTCACAGAGAAACCCCAAGAAGTGCAATTTTGGAGAGGGTCCAGCTTGCAGGGTAAATGCCTGGGAGCTGCTGCCAGCTTTCAGGGAGGGGGTCAGGGCTGGGTTAGGGGCACAGCATCCCCCATGGCATCACTGGCACGGGCAGCAGGATGAAAATATCAGCCCCTGCAGAACCAAGAGGCGTTTGCCTCTCGCCTGAGCCATGCAGGCGTACAAGCATCAAAAGTTTTGCTCCCTGAAGCAGAGCTCCTCGTTCCAGCCACCCTGGGATGAGCTTGGAAGCAGCTTTTGACCTGATGTCCGTATTGCTTCTGAAGTGCTTGGCAAGAGGAGTTGCAAGTTCCTTTGTAGTAGGGAAGGTCACATCCTGCACATGGGTCAGCCTGGCCCAGGGAACCTGCAGGGAGAGGGGCAGGGGCAGGCACGTGGGGCAATCGCATTTGGGCAGCGACAGCCATGTGATGAAAGGTGAAGTTCTCAGCTGGGGGAGGGGGGTGGAGAGCAGCCAGTGGTAGGAGACTCCAACCTTGGATTGTCCTTGGTGATGCTTTGGGCATGTGGGGACCAGGGCAGGATGAAGCCAGTACAGCAGATGTCCTGTTAATAAACTCTCCGAG